ATTGGACACTGTGTGTGGTGTTAGTCGACGAACTGTCCAACAGATTCTAAAGGCCCATAGTTTTCATCCGTATAAAATTCACCTGGTAGAAGAACTTAATGAAGACGATTTTGATTGGCGATTACAATTTTGTGAAGATATGAGTGAACGAATTATAAACGATGAACATTTTCTATTCAATACTTGCTTTTCCGACGATTGTTCCTTTTTCTTAAATCGCGTAGTAAATCGTCATAACTGCCGATATTCCCCGATACACAGCAGCCACAAAAATTGAATGTTTGGGCTGGTATTTTTGGCGATTTTTGACCGGTGAAATGTATTTGGAATTATTGGAAGACGCCATAGATCCTGCATTAACAGCCATAATTGAAAATCAGAATGATCGGCGGTACATTGCGAATAGGTTGATGTTCCAACAGGTTGGTGCTCCACCACATTACGCATTACGTCTTCGACAATATTTAGATAAGACGTTTCCAGATCGATGGATTGATAGAAGAGGTGCCATTGAATGGCCCCCAAGATCGCCAGATTTATCACCTTTGGATTTCTTTATGTGGGGTCATTTAACAAGCAGAATCTATGCTACTCAGCCAACATCATTAGAAGACCTGCGACAAAGAATTGTGAATGAGTGCCTTCAAATTACTCCTCAAATATTGCAAAATGTGCGGCAACGTTTTGAGCGAAATCTTTATTATTGCATGGAGAGTCATGGTGGCCATTTTCAACATTTATTTGCCTAACGGGTCAGTTCATTCTTCATTTTCAAATTACTTTGCTGCCAAATGTATTGATGTCCACTAATGATGATGTATTAGTTTTATTTAAGCTTTAAATCGATAAATCTTCAAAATTACTGAACTGAAGTACATTAATTTTATATCATTATAAAGGGAATTGATTGATTAAAATAAGGTATCACTCGACCCCTCTTTCCATTTAAGATTTTGGGGGTGCTGTCACCCCCGCTTAGGGAGCTGCACGTGCTAACGTGATTTTTTGCCAAACTTGTGTCCCCCTCGAGAACAAAATCGACGGGTCTGAGCGTTTTTCAAAAAAAAAGACTGTATAAAAATGGATATAGGCGGTTTTGAAGGCAAGCTTCTCAATTATTCTTACTTATTGTGTTGTGTGCTTTCGTAGTATCTTGATTAACCAGGTTGATTTAGAAACGTAACACTGGGGAACAGTCACTATGCGGCATGGCAGGTTGAAGTCAGTACTTTATAATCCAATTGTACGAAATAGTAAGATATTAGATTTGTCAAATTGCATATAGTTTTTGAGTTAAAAGACTATTAACAATTCCACTAAGACAAGTATATGAAGATACCAATATGTATATTGGAAAATCAGTGTCATCAGGCTTCTTTATAAGAGTGCTACAAAACAAAAAATATGTATACATACCGGGTGTTTTAAATTGGACTCTTTGGGATCTCGGAAACGGTAAAAGATATAAGGTAAAATGCTTCAATGGAACTTAAATTACTTAATGCTTTGTCATACCTACATTCAACAAGTGTACCAAATTTGCTTTGTCTGAGTTCAAGAATAACTGAGATGACATCTTTTACGGAAATTTGAATCCGAATCAGTTAAATCTTTCCACTTTATTCAACTTGTGAGCACATAAGAATCTGTTTTTGGCAGAAAACAAAAGCAGCTCCAATTTTGCAATATACTGCTTTTGATAAAAAATGATCCGCCAACATTCTGCTATCGCAGCGCTGTAGGCAACTAAGATTGATTGTCTTTTATTTTGCTTTCTGTTCTTATAATATGTGGGTACGATTCCCCGTCTCGCGGGTGTGAGATAAGACCCGGTGGGAAACGTGAAAATGGAAGGGGGGAGGAAGGACAGCTAATCGAGTATACTTCGACATGGGCAGACCCGTCTTTATCATCACCCCAAAAAGTTCTGCTAAACGATGAGCGACGTGATCAACTTTTCGTCAAAACTGATTTTGACTCACCAGTCGACTCCTGGAAATCGCAATTCTGTATTTTTAATTGATGTTTCAGCACCCAGTATACTTGAGAGTCGAGCATTTTTCCCCTAACGGCTACTCAAGGGCTTCGTGTCATCGCCTCTTAAACAATAAGCACCATTAACAAAATATATATTGCAAATTTTTTGTTCCGCAACGTAGTTGATCTATATACAGGGTGTTTCAAATTCGAGCGTCACCATTGGGATCTCGGAAACTCTAAGAGATCAAAGTCGCTTAAATGGGGGCAAATTTGCGTGTTTAGGTAATCAACAAAATGCCGATCAGAAAGTTTCAAAATACAATGCACCCGAAGAGAGACGGAAAAAGCAGAATTTCCCCAAAATCGTTTTAATTTTTTCCTGACTTCATTTGTAGTGGGATTTCAAGATAAATTGCACACCAGCATTGCCAATTTTTCCTCTCTACATGATGGCATATGATATTCTATATCAATATGACGTTTCGTCTTTTGTGTTCCAGCAACAAGTTTATTTTTTCTTATAGGCGCCATATTGAAATTTTGCACAGATGAGTTTTTAATCCTTACTCCATAAATGTATAATATGTCATACATCACTATTGCCAACCCTAAGGCTTAGGTCGCACTACGGCTAAGCCGCAGCGGATTTTAACCGCCTGATTTTGTGGGTAAAGTGGAACTAATGGAAGCGGCCGCACTGACGGTTTTTTCCGCGACTAATTTTCAAACCGCGACTACAGAATGGCTAGCAGGAAAAAACCGCCCCAAAATTTGTAGTTCATAGAACTCATATTGGCGCGTACACATTTGACGTGGCAACTGCGCGCGGTACTGTCATTCTTCGGAACACAGTCATGAAGAACCAGATATGCTTAAGTCATCATGGTCATTACCAATATTATGTACGTTCATTGCACCATGGAAGGGCTTAATCCCCATGTTTTGCTATGAGAGCGGTTGAACTGAGGGTTCCAGGTTAGCTTGGACAGTAGTATTACGCCCAGGTATTTAACTTTCCCGACAGTTGTAACTGTTTTTACAGCAGGTATAGAGGTTCTAACCCCTTCTGGTGAAAGCAACTATGTCTTAGAGGGACTTCCTTGCTCCGGAGGCTATTCTTTTTCTTTTTCAACTTGGTTAATTAACCACAGAAGTAATCTAATAAGCTGTATGATCTTCCTCTCAAGAAAGGCGTAAGAGTTCTTAGAATAGCCTGAAAAAACTGTTGATGAGCGCCAGTCTCTGTCCGGTGTTCAATGCAAATCAAAGATACTTAAATTCCGTAGATGATTCCCGGACTTGATTCTAGACGGTCCACTTACCAACTACCGACTCATCCAAGAGATGCCCAATGGTACTGACTTTGAGTGGTCGACATGACAGAACAGACATAGCGCCAGTAAAAGTTAACCAAACAATAAGAATAAACAATTCATTGAAAATCGGGGTTGCTAGACACGTGTTATATGATCGAAAATATAAGTTCATTCACAGAAGGCGGATCCAGTGGGATATTTTGAGGTGGGGGGACTTCCGGGAGCGAATGTTGTGATCGAAAAACGGGGAGTGGGGGTTACCGACTACTGAAAAGAACGAGAGGACAAGAATTTTCTGCGTATTTACCTTTCCCCAGTAATCTTATATCTAGCAACACAGTGTCAAAAGGGTTACGATGGGATGTCGTTGATATAAACTTCCGCTGGTCCTCGTTTCCGTTCCGATAGTAGTTCAAAAAATTCTCAGGATGTTTTCTTAAATCTTGATACCTTTTATGAAAGAAACCTTTTTTAAATCTTCGGCTAGTCAGTGGATGGACCCAATATTTGTGAAATTTTTGATGGCTTCTTTTGCAGCTTCTTAGTATTAGAGAAACAATTCATCTTCAAACATTGAAAAATGTGTCCATTTTCGCGGTTTTTAACCGTAGTGTGTGTGTCCCGGGTGGTTTTGCGGTTTGGTGGTTTACCGCTTGCGGGAAGAAACCGTAGTGCGGCCTAAGCCGTAGGGCCGTATCGATAGTCGTTCCTACAATTGTAGGACGCCTTTCTGGCCCCCTTGATTTTCATAGTCCTTTATCTCCTTTTCCAGAAAGGCTACTGTATTTCTAGATTTCTACTGTTCCGTGTCAGCGTCAGTGCTCTCCTATTGTGAAGTTATGTTTTACTTTTGAATGAACAATTTGATGCAAATAGATATTTGTGACATAACCTCAAAACTATGGAAATCAAGGAGGCTACAAAGGCGTCCTACAATTGTAGGAACGACTGACGATACGGCCTTTAGTTATTTCAAAAAAGGATTTTTAGGCGAAGCCTGACTCTTCTCTGTACATTGTTCACTGCTTGCTTTATGTTTCTTCCTCTTAGTCTTCCAAACTCTATCACTATGTTTAATTCGAAGTCTATTCTGGTATACGAGACAAATGACTGTCTGATAACGTAAATGCTTACCTAGGAAATTCTGTTTTTCTGAAATAACTAAGATTTGGCAACTTCAGGGCTGCGTTCGTAAATTGTTACAGAGTGTACTTTGTACTACTCCCTAGGGTATCTTATAATAATTACAATGGCCGCAAAAACGTGGTTAGAAATTAGTCGGCTGTCATCAAGTGCCATTACATGATTCGGTAATAATTTAGGCGTTCTGAGAATAAAGTTTCACAGTGTTCCAGAGTGAAATATCATTTGTCAATCCACATTCCTTTACTGTGTACGGTATTACATTACGAAGTGATTTACAAACGCACCCCAGTGTATGATATCCCACAACCACATACAATCAGGAAAAAAATAAAAAGGTTTTGAGAAAATTCGGTTTTTTCGGTCTCTCTATGAAGATACCTTGAATTTCGAAACATTCTAAGCGGCATTTTGTTGATTATCTAAATTAGCAACTTTGCTCCCTTTTAAGCGTATCTCTTACAGTTTCCGAGATCCCAATGATCGAGTTTGAAACACCATGTATAAAAATCTAGATCTCCTTTTATTGTATATATAATTTTATCTACTATATTTTTTTAGATGGACTACACAAGATCACCAGATCATGTCTAATCAACAATGGCGATCTAACTTGTAACAAACTCAGGAAGATATCGCAAGTGAAGCTATACAGCTGCGCAATCTGTGACATGGACTTCTGTAATGGAGTATAAAGTTATTATGCCTTATCAGTGATATTTTAATAAAGCTATTATACCAGTAGAAGTTTTTTGAATTCCATATTGTTACATAAATATTTTTGTAGATTATTGCTGTCTTTTTGTTGTGAACTATTAAGCCTCAAAGATTCAACTATTTGGTATTACATTGACAGATGCCATCGAAAACGAACGGTTCTTGCCATCTTGCCAACAATGAATTTCTATTAGTCTTCAATGATCATTTATAGTGGATCTCAGTTCAGTGCTTATGTAGGCAACAATATACATTGTTAATTTGTTTCAATAGCTGTATCTGGTAGTCAGAAATTTCTCAATAGAAATAACCTTAAGTAAAATGTTTTTAAGAATACATAGCTACATAAATTTAGTAAGGCTCAAATACAGGTGGCCCCTATACTATATTATTATTTGTTCAGAGATAGCCAATTTATTGCAAAGACATAAGAAATACCATATCGCAAAACTTGGCGTCAATCTTGTTTGTTTTGGCATTCTCATTTCCCTTTTTGACGATGGCATATATAAAAAAGTCCACAGGACTTTGAAAAATCGCACTTCCGACAGCGCTGAAACGGCAAGCGAGTTTTTCATGCCAAAAAGGATGTTCCTTTTATCTCGAGCCCGATCCGATCCAGTTGCGTTGTTGAGCTAAAAGGTCAATTTGGTCCCCGGGCTCGTTATTTTAAATTAGTCCCAAATAAACGATCATTTTTGATGGGATATTTGATGCAAGTTACAACCTACGCTACGGGCTGTATGAAGTAATTTAGAATGTTTTGTTGTCCTTTGCTAACGAAAGGTTGTGCGAAATGTAACAACAGAACAACAGAGAGTATTTGCAAGCTTAACTGAATCAAGGATGATATTAAAAAGAATATGGTTTTGTGGAAAGTTTAACGATAAAAGAGTGTCGCTACAATTTTTGCATTTTAATAGCAAAAGCACACGAGGTAAAAGTTACTCAAATGTTGTCGTACCAGATACATTTTAAAAAATGCCGTTTCGCGCGGCGACAGCGACAGGAGACAACAACTACGACAAAGCCTGAGACCGAAACGCGAGACTGGTAGCATAGCGTAAGAAATATGTCATTGTCAGTGTGGAATACCAAAATCCAATTTAAAAAAATTACGAAAAGCAATAGAAAGCACAGCGTACATTCTGCTTACACAAGTACAAGAATAATGATGTTGCAGAGATGATGCAAAGAAAGCGAGAAAGAAAGTTTATTTCTGTTCAGGTCAAGCTTTCGAAGATGCCTATTCTCTTCATCACAACATACTTCAATTTCAATTAAGTACAAGTGCATTAGGCTCTATTAATAACGTTGAAGTTTTCTTTCGTCACAACCAATACAAAAACCGAATGAAACCGTTAACTATTCAGTATCAAAGACATATGAAAATTGGCCCCAAAGGTATCCAAATCTGGTTCCAATCCATATCAAGGTATATCGGATTGATAGGCTACCTCTAGGGGCATCTAACCTCAAAAACGTATTTTTTCAAAAATATTTTTTTAAGGTTAGGGGCAGTCAGAATGGAACTATCCACCTGAGTCAAGATGCCTCCATTTGTAATGATTGAGATTGAGATACCTTTGGGGGCAATTTTCATATCTATATAGTTTCACCTATAGCCTTTGGATGCCCAAAATAGCAGTTAGAACCAGTTAAACGACAAATCGGCATATTCAAAAGCGAAGCGATACAAACATTTTAAAAGAGAGGCGGACTAAAAATTTCTAAAATTTCATCCAATTTTTGTGTGTGCATTTTCGGATTAACTATCTCGAAAGAAGACTGCAATGTCGTAAGTAGAATTTAATAATACTTTACTTGATTGGAATTGTTATACAAATTGTCTTTGTAGCTGAAAGCTTGACCTGAACAAAAGGCCTTCTGACTTGAATTTTTTTGGATGGTGGTTGCAACCTTGAGACCCCTGCATCCGTGTATCCCAACTAGACAGTCAATACACCTCCTCTCGAGCTTCTTATTACGCAAAATGTTTTTTTTAATTTGATTATTCCATAGTGAAAATGTCAATGCTATAGATTTTTTGCGTGAGTGCTGGCATAAGTTTATTCCCGTACTAGGACAAAGGTTTCTGAATTAGATATTACCCACGAATTTAGACTCGATACAAGAAGCCAATCAAGGATTTGTTTGGCTCCTAATTCTCATAGCCTATAGTGAGGATCAAAGTGCAAACTACATGTGCATTTGACTTAAATCAATGTTTGACAGTTCTGCATTAAATTTGTATCTTTAGTTGTCATTTTTTTTAATACCACGTGTGTTTGCATATAATTGTGGTGTTAGAGGATTTCACGATTTCAAGACATGGTATTTCTAACATTATTTGTAAAAAGCGGCACAAGTCTAATTGAGGTTGATGGTTCCACCGATAAGTATTGTTATTGTATTGAAGTTATGTTGCAGAAAAGGATGCACCTGGAAGAAGAAAATGCTGAGGAAAGCATCCAAGCCCGAGATGATAAATAGAGGTTCTTCATGCTTTCCGTAGATTGCTCGTTTGTTCGTCGTATTGTACATTTTATCCATTGTAAAATATTTCAAGTCATATTGTAGTCAGTAAAAAAAAAATATTTTTTTTTAAAGAACCGACACGGGCCATTTCGGCAACATATCTGGCGTAGTCATCCCGTAGGATTCAACGCAGTTTTCCGAAAATTCGCGGCATCGTGACCGGTTTCGTGAAAATGTGGGTTCGACCCCAACTAGCAAAGTAGTGCTATAAGCTTTTGGTAAAAGAACTGTTCAGCCGTAAAAGCTCTCTAAACCTGTTGCCTGAACACCAAAATGCTGGCTTAATGCCGTGTGGAATGCAAATTTGCTTTCAGCAGCATATTTTCTCTAAAATGAGGTGATCAAAATATTCTTACAGCATAGTTTAGAACAGCTTATAGGACAAATTGTCGACTATTGTAAACTTAATTTTGTACTGACGCAAATGTTCTATAGCGGCTGCAAGAGGTTTACACTCTTGTTGTATAACTGTTACCTGCAGGCCTTATACAATCTCTTAAATGACTGAGTGTCCTATTATGTGTGCCCATTCCGCTTGTATAGCTGTTCTAAGAGCGTTTTGCCAATGTTCTTACAGCATACAATGCTGTGTAAGGAATACTGAATAATCATTCTTGTAACTCTAATAAGAGTGATAATTGTTAGTTGTGACCTACACCAACAAACGAAGAATCCACAGACCAAGAGCGAGAAGTTGGCCCCTTGCTTTTCTGCCTGCCGCCTTCCAAGAAGATAGGAGTAGAAGGATCATGTATCTGGAAGTCAAGAAGGTTCCGATAGTCATTGACGCAATTGTCACACCCTTAAAAACCGCGCTTTTCCTCTATTCGCTAGGTAACGCTACTATTATACAATCGTGTCATACTTTAATTCACATTGTAGAAACTACTTCATTAACAAGTCCGATTACGAATATCCAAAATTATTACGAAAGACTCCAAAATTCTCTCAAACCTTTAAATGCTGATCATTCAGCCTTGCACTTTGGAATATCAAATCTCCTCAAGAATACGAAATTTCTGATACAAGAGGCTACGAAAAAATTAGATAACATTGTTCCACGTATTCGTCAGAATCGAGGATTGATTAATCTCGTAGGAAAAACTTCAAAGTTTCTTTTTGGTACAATGGACTTAGATGTCGAAATCAAAATTAATAATGCACTTTATGAATTACAAAAGAACGCAAATTCTGTGCATAGTCAACTGAAACTTCAGACCTCACTGACTAAAAAATTGATAGATAATTACAATTCTACAATTTCATTATCAATCTCTAATCAGGTACAGATCAAAGCAAAATTGTATCATCTCCAAAATGCAATGAATGCTTGACAGCTTATCTTCACGCTGAAAATATTTTACAGCAACTTAATCTAAACTGTCAAAATTTGATTACGTTTTTAGATAATTTGAAGGACGCTATGATGTTTTCAAAATTCAACATTTTACATAGTTCTATCATATCAGTTTCAGACTTAGAGAAAAACATAAAGTATTTAGTAAAATTATATGGTAAAAAGAAAGTACCAAATTTTGAAAATTTACAATCATACTATTTAGTAGCTGATCCACAAATTACATTTACTGATAATAAAATCGTGTTTTCTATAATATTTCCTATATTATCTGATTCTAATTTTTCCGTCTATACCCAGTTCCTATTAGAAATTCAACCATTATTCCAACCCATCCCTTTTTGGCTCCTGGAACAAGTCATCAGCAATTTGAAGACGAAGAATGTCCAGAAATTGATCATGTCTACTTCTGCAAGAATCGATAAGAACCCATGTAAGGTTGTCTAAACGAGTTACTGAAGAAAGTCAAATTTTTAAAATGACAATTCACGAGGTTACAAGTATCCAATCCTATTGTAGCGATGTCAACAAAACACATTTTGGTCATTCCCGCTGACCCGTCGATCACAGCAGTCAAGTTGTGTGGTACTCAACAACCACTTATTTTAGAAACGCCAAGTTTAGTCAAAATACCCGAAAATTGTGGAATAAAAATCAACTCATCCAAGTTTTGGAACAAGGAGGATCAAATCAAAGGAAACCCTTTGGCCCTTCCAGAAATAAAATTTTGGAATGTAAGATCGAACTGTATGTCCAAGAAAGCTTTAATCCTCAAGACTATTGACCTCGGCAAGATCCAGGAAATGCAAGAGAAAGCAAATTTTCTTAAAATGCAAGAAGAACAAATCCAGAAGAAAAATGACCTACCCCAAGACAAGAAAGATGATCCCGAATCCAGTGAAGAAAGATCCAAGAAAGATGCAAAAAGAAGAAAAAATCCTGAAAACAGAAAACGTTCCTATTCAGTTTTCAGACTAGGTGGGGAGTAGTTATGATGCATAAAAGTATGCACATTGAAGAAGAAAATGCTGAGGAAAGCATCCAAGCCCGAGATGAAAAATAAAGGTTCTTCATGCTTTCCGCAGATTCCTCGTTTGTTCGTCGTATTGTACATTTTATCCATTGTAAAATATTTCAAGTTATAATGTAGCC